TATTTAAGTATGGCTAATAAAACTGTCTTTACAGATGAACGGGGATGCCATAATGATGAAAATTTGAGAATGTTCTATTACTGAAATCTGTCAATTATTATTTATAAACATTTAATTATTATATTTTGCATATATTATTAAAATTGAATAATTATTATTTATAATTTAATTATATATATTTTGTATAGATGAGATTATCAACTCAATAAGTTTATTTATTTTTTTTTTTAGCTTACTTCAAAATTTGACAATAGAAATTTCAATTAGGCATTATGCACACCTTGCATAAGTATCAATGTATCTAGATATTTTTAGACGAAATATTTATATCTGAATAAGTTTTTAGGCGAGGTATCTGTATCGAGATCCGATTGAAAAGCATCCTTTAACAACTCTGGTACATAATGTTGGTGAAATTATAGACATACTAACTTTTTATTCCGGTTTTCAGCGCGTAAGTGCTTTTGTTTACCCGAAAAATTTTTTTTTTATGATTATTTTTTTACCAAAATTTCGAGTGTACCTTTTGATTCGCCCCACTACGTAGAACGGGTGTCGATAAATAGCGCCAAACTGATTTTTTTTTGATTAAAATGAAAGAAATTTGTAGACTAGCGAGTTTATAATATTAGACATGGATGAAGGTCTCTCCCTATGGGTTTGCTCTAGAGGTATAATGTGTGCAAAAATTGAGCGTTTTCATTTTACCTTAATTTTTTTAATAAAAAAAAACGTAACTCCGTTGTTTAAACTTGAAGTTGCCTTTTTATTAATATTGTCCCTTCAAAATAATTTAACAAAGTTCTAAAATTTTGTCTTCGAAAATTTATCTTCTGCCTTTTTATTTCTTTAATTTCGAAATATATTCCATTTTAAAATATAAGTAAGTTATTTTTTTTTACATTTTATATAATATTACGAAATGAAGAATAAAAAAGGTTTTGAAAAAAAAAGCGAAACGGTTAGCGTTTTTTTAAAAATGGTTGCTAACGCCAAACGTAATCTTACCAAGTTGCACTATGCCATTCAAAATGCATTATTTGCGTTTGCAACACAGCGTTGGAAGCGCTCAATTTGTGCGCAATAGTAATTCTATTTTAATTAGTTTAAGATAAGAATGAGTAATATTTAAAAAATAGGCCTATTATATATATCGCCTAAAGAGGGTGAGAGGTTACTGTTGATCACTATGAAGTCTTGCATATTTGAAGGTTTTACTTTATTAAAAAATTTTTTGCGGGGAAAAAAAGCATCCAAAAACTAATTTTTTAACTTTAAATTTTGTATGAATCCAATTTATCCGAACCCGACCCGACCTCTTTTCAAAATCTTAACCCGAACCAGGCAAATTAAAAATACAAGGTTTTCAATACCTGGGTTTACTGTTATATTAAAATTAATTTAGATAGAGAAAAAAAATTAATTAATTTATCACGCCTCATCTTTATTGTTCATCAGTTTAAAAACAAAACAAACAAACAAACAACGATGATTTAATATTATATTATCCTTAATTAAAGGTGAGTGCACGCTAAAAAATAAAAAAGACATATATTTTTGTTATGTTTACATCATTTTTTTTAACGTGTCATTTCCCCCTAAACTTTTTCCACAAATGAAATTTTAAATAACCAATAATTACGGTGTTGCTAATCGATTTAGATCTCGTAAGTTTTAAAAAAAAAAATGCGGGATTTGATTTTGTATGACATAAATAAGGTCAATAATTTATGGGAGGTTTTTTAAAAAAAAATTACAACATTTCTACTTTTCGATCCTCTAGGTACTGTACCGGCATTTTGAATTTGGTGCAGAACATTACTATCATTTTTTTCCCAAGAGGTCTGCTAAACACTATTAGCCCCCCAAATAAAGTGTCACGTGATTTTATTTTTAAGCCTTTTGAATCATTTTGCGTGTTATTTTGTAAAATCGTTTGGAAGGATAATTAAAAAAAAATACGAGTTACACCAAATGTTAAATTATCTGATTTTTCTAACTAGTTAATTTATATTCGTTTTTAAATTTATCGTAAAAAAAAATCAGGTCTAATCCGGTTTTATAGAAAAAACGATCCGGTCCGGGTTTAACGGGGGTTTTGCGGAAAAATATATTTAAGTTACCCGGGTTTGTATTTTAATTTTAAGGATCGGGTCGGATTCCGAAGCGATTATATTGTGGATGAATGTGTGGAAAATTGGTTATTATTATTTTTTAAAAAAGAATAATTAAAAAGCAAATATTCGGAAACATCTAATTTTCATTTTTTTTTTACCTGAAAAAAATGATAATTTTTAAATTTAAATTGATAAATATGATTGTGCACATTTTTCCTTTTGTGGCAAATCTTGTATTAAAATTAGATATAATTTAAATTCCTATGAACTAATAATTTAAATTATCTATATATTTTATTTTATTTTTTTTTCGGTGGAGGGAAAAAGAAATATTTATAATATTTAAAATGGCTGGTGGATGGAGAATAAAACGTAAGAAGTGTAATCGATGTTTCTAAAGTAACCATTGTCACTACTACTTAATGAAATCCCCCTTCCACCTGTTATAGGGCCCTCAGCTGCACATGAACCATTTAAATTTTAATTAATTTCTATATATGTGCCATAAAGTCCAAGATGAATTAAGGTCTTCAATGAAGTAAGATGGGTATAGCTTTGTTTTGGATTTCCTTTGTGTATCCTTTTTTGTTACTTTTATCTTTTTTTCACTAATTTTGTTTAGGAGGGAGACCGATCATTGGGGAGGGGGGCGGGGCTCCCTGAATCCACGGTATTTACTTTGAGATATTAAGTTCAGATCAGGCTAACACCTATGTCTAAAAATAAGAATTTGAATAAATCGGACGTGAAAAATCGATCAGGTGAAAATAGTGTGATATTCTCAAGCGTCTTAAAATGAAAATTAAAGACAAATTTTATTTATAATGAATAATGATGATAAATCTTATAAAAAAAAATACTTGAAATATTTTATAAATATTATGCTAATACGATTAATTATATATTCCATAGTCACTTTTCTTTTTTCTTTTAAATGTTATTGGTAAAAAAAATTATTAGTCCCTTGTGGAATATTATAAGCGGGTTTATTATACAGATGATTGAACATTTTTATTTCTCAAACTAATATAAAAGGGAGCGAAATAAATCGAAAATTATGTTTAACATTGAAATTTAAAAAATTGATCTCAAAATATTTACCATAAAAGAACGCTACAACATAGTACTCCTCATAATATGCGCACATAAGGTTTATAGTAATCGCGAAATACCGCGATGTCGTCCAAGCGGCGCGTAATTTACAAAATACATAATATGAAATTATACTAATATGCTGTCGTTTAGCGATAAGTTGCTCACCAGCTTACTGTAAACGAAGCTGAAGGGTTATACACATCTATTAGAAGGAGAACGCTCAGGAGATATGAATCCAGATAACTCGGGTGATTGTTACGACCTTTTTTTCTCTTTCTTTCTAGCTCTGAGCTCCAACCGATGGATATCTTCTTAGAAGTCTATCGTCTTATATATTCATAAATCGGAATATGACTTCACAGATTTACTAATGTGACCATGGTGGGGATCGAATTGATTTTTCTTAAATTTGCAATCGTTAATATTATCCTAAGTTAAAAAAAATTTTTTTGTTCGCGAATCAAATTTTTTGATATTTTGGAACACAGTCTAAAGTAAATTTAAAAAAAATGAATCGCACAACGTTGTTAAAACGATAAATATAAACGGACAACTTGCAAAAATTAATTTTTAGCGGGCAGGGCCTGACTAGAGTTTACAATATAGGCTAAATTATCTATTGTTTTTCTTCACTAAAAATTATTATGGGCTGCTGGGTAACTTTTCCTAGGGTTATAATGTAATTTTTTTTTATAAAAAAACCTTTATATGAATCAAATGGATATAAAGATATTTATAAGGAGAAAAAAAATTTCTACTAAACTGAAAGTTGAGAAATAGATTTTTTGAATTTTTTCTTCACTGGTTTTAATTTTGTGAAGATTTTACTACCTGATTCCAAGATTTACATAATATTTATGTCACGAATTGGGCTAATGTTCAAATTAATTTGCATATTCACTTCTTTTGTTTTGTTTTTTTGAATTTTTGATATAATAAATGTTTATAATAATAGAAAAAATAAATGACAAAAAAAAAATATTTGTTTAGCTGTCGCGCTTGGGAACAGGGCGCCACTCTTATTGAATTATTTATATTTAATAATCATTATAAAACCATTTATCAGACACGATAATAGAAATTTGGAAACCACTTACAAAATATTAAATTTAATTGACCATATCAGTGTCCCTTAAACGACTCAATTTAGGCAATTTAAAATTTAAATTTTCTTTATAATTATAATTTATTTATATGGATTAAAAAATAATTCTTTTTTTTTGCTATAATTGGTTTCAAACTCTAATATTTAATATTAAGATTACGAGAGGCTTTGTCCCCTTCAGGCGCGAAAAATTTTTTTTTTAAAATAATTTCCTTCCATTTTTTTTGGAAAATTTAAACTGTGAGTTATTTAGGTTTTTAGATTTGGCCTGGTTTCGAGTATATTATTAAAAAGTATGAGGGGGAGCGTTGACAAAGAGACATGAGTTTGGGTTGTAAAAAGTATTTTCCTTTATTATTCGAAAGCACAATAATTACCACAATTAAATGTTGTTAAATATCCCGATTATAGCCCATTCTTGAATAAACGGCTACATAAAAATTTTAGGCAAACAAACATTAACCAAAGCCTCGAAATTTTCCCAAAAGGGAACTAGATCTTTCTGCCATTAATAGGCCAAATCTCGAGGTTTGGGTAATATTGGCTTAGTTAGAATTTATCGGTTTTTCAAATACCGGTTGAATCGTTTATAACAGCATCAGCCAACAATACTCGAATTTTCATCTCAATTCTACTAAGTTCAAACTGACAATTTTTTTTTAAAAAAAAATTGCCAATTTTAGGTTTAGCCTCGATGTCCGTTCCCATATACATTGCCGAAATGTCACCCCCGGATAGAAGGGGCAGATTAGTCACGTTGAACAGCGTATTCGTAACGGGTGGTCAATTTATAGCCAGCGTTATAGACGGAATTTTTAGTTATGACCGCAAAAATGGCTGGAGGTTTGATTTTTTTTTTTGTAAAAAAAGAAGCATTTATTAAATGAATTACGGCGCGACTTGTCTAACCCACGCTCTTGGTTACCTGATGTGATTAAGAATTACAGCCCAAGGCGATTACCTATAATTGTTGGTAACATCAACTCAGAAGGGTGCAAAGATCAAGCGAGTTGCGGCGTACTTGATTTATCATTCATTCGTTAATTAGATTTGTGTCCCAAACTTTTAATTTATTTTTTCGCTGAATTGATAAATACTAATGATTTTAGAAATTTGTATAATTAATTATAAATGCAAATTTTTTTCCCCATAAAATATTCATTCATTCATTATTTTGTTGTTTATTCCATCTAGGAATGTTTACCATAAATAAATAAATTAATTTTTTTTTAAAATTTCAATGTCGCCAAGAAGGTAATAAATAAGATAAAATATACTAGTTATAATAATATAATAGTAACTATAGAAAATTAGGTTAATCTAAAAAAGAATAAAGAAGCATAAGCATAGAATAAGGAAGGAAGAGTGAGTCTAGGAAAGCTCCTTTAAAAGTAGGCTGCCTTTGAAGCTAATTTAGTTTGTTTTGATGATAACTCTGGCCAGCCTCTGTCATAACGATAAACCTTCTCGCAGATGTGAGATCCTAAATCTTTGAAGAAGGATACAGCTAGACTTTACCGAAAGAAGAAGCAAGGGTAGTGAATATAATTGAACTGAAAAAGCTGGATCTTCTAAAAATTCCCGAATATTTGGCAATTTCGAGTTGTTCATTTTGCTCAAGTAAGGTTTTTGGTTGGATGAAACGTTAGAAAAATTGATTTGGTTTCATTCCGGCTTTTAGTTTAAAATTTGAAAATTTTTTGGTTTTGAAACAAATTTTGGTTTATTTAAGTTTCCATATTTATATTTTTTTCTCTTTTCCGATTTGCTACTATATATAAATTTCGAATATTTTTAAAATCATGCATAATATATTTTATTAATTGAACTCAGAATTCTGATAAAATTTTTTTTTAAAAAACTTAGAAGAAGAAAAAATCGGTTTAAAATGTTGGACAGTTAATTACTGTCCAGGAATTTGTGACGGTTCTTATCGGTTTTACCGTTCGGGCTGGGTTTGACATCGTGCTAGCATATCGAAATAGGAATTAGAATATGTTGCAAAATATAATAATTTTCTAATTATATCATATCTATTGTTAACCTGGCAATCTGACAGGTGATATTATTGAAAGACTTTTTCTTGGTTGGAACAATTTGCTGTTAAAAATCGTATGTTTTATAAAGAAGAGGAAACCAATAAGAAAAACTTTTATGTCAAATATTGGCTTACCATTATAAATTGAATTAGTATACACATTTTATTATTCTTTAATAACTTGATCACGTGTTCTTTTGCGTGATTATTACGAGAATGTGAAACCATTCGACAAAAAAAAAGCAGGGTTCAGGTTCAAGGTTTGGAGAGCATAAAAAAATATTATCTTAAAAAAGGGAAGAATTCGATCGATAAAAGTAAATTTTATTATTCTTACGAATTGAATATAATTGAGTTTGCTATGTGAAGGCGCTTAAGAGTTTTTCCAGTTATAGAACCTAAAACAAGGAGAAAGAACTAAGTTCGTGTTAAGTAAAGAAAGTAGATACTAAAAAAAATTACCATCTTTTTTTAAACTCTTATGATGAATTTTGAATTAATTTAGTCACAACTCGTACCAAGACTCAGGACCGTGAAAACAAATTTATCAAATATATTTGGTTTGATTTTTTTGGGGGGTTTGAAAAATATTCAAAAAATAACTGCCTTGTTTTTGCTTTTAAAATTCAAAACTAAAAAATATTTGTTCTTTTTTGAATTTTCAAAACATTTTGTTTTTGACCCCAATCCTACTCCGTCACACCTATTTCTTCATTTTACCCATTCTAAACTCGTCCCTTCACCTGATCATAATCTCCTCATCAATATCAAATTTTATCTTGCTCTCTCCTCTAGTCCCCTTCCAAAAGGACCTTCATGTTTTATTTTCCCCTCACATTAATCAAGCCCTATTCTCTTCTCTCTATACGTAATAGTTGCCTCCTTATAGTTATTATATCTTATCCACCAACCATTGTACACCCTTGGCGCACTCCCTAATTTGATGTCACTCCTTACTTTTATTAAATATTAAAAATTGTAAATTAACTTCTTTTTTTTTTGTCAATATTAAGTAAATAATTGGTCAAAATTTTTTAAAAAAATATTGTATATCCAATAAGATATTATATTTTATCAAAAATATATTATGTATGACTATATAAATAATGTCATCCTTCATATAAAACTAGATGTGTTACGTTTAAACTGCATAAATACATTTAAAAACTCTAACTCGAGCGCCAACCTCAAAGTTGCTTAGTCGAATTTCGAGTTGAAAAAAATTGGCTTAACCAAAAATACGGTTTGAAATTCCACTAAGCGGTCTTGGAAGTTAGCTATAGTTAGGTGATTTTCCATCTCTAGTTGTCAATCATAATTTGGAATAGACTAACTAAAAGCTTATCAAGATGGATGGCCGTATCATAGGAATCTCCATCTTTATAGATTATAATCTTTTTTTTTTAAAATAAAAAATATCTATAATATAATATCAAACCACGAAGTGAATATATAATGCCTTTTAATCGCAAATGACAATATTATAAATCCTTTTTCAATTAATCCTTGACTTTTGAAAAATGAATTAAAAGGCTATCACAATTTTTTTAAAAATAATATTAAATTTTAATTTCAAAGGCACAAATTACCTATATAAATAAATATATGGATTTTGAAATCGTGTAGGTACGGTCCGGTTTTTAGTTCAGCTTTAAAATCGGTTCGTGTTCGGTTTTTGCAACCGGTTTAGGGATTAGTCAATTAACTTGCTAATAATTTAACCATGCTTTTTTCGTAATTTCAAAATATTCAAAAACAATACGTTAAATGAATCGATTCCTTTGATATCTCGATTTTTTTTTATCAGCCTGACGTCTTGTCATTGGCTATATTTTAAAAAAAAATTGTTTGCCCTTCATTATTTAGATACATGCTTGGATTGGCGGCGCTCCCGGCCGGAATACAACTCGCAGCCTTTTTATTCTTGCCCGAAAGCCCGAGGTGGTTGGTGAAGAAAGGGAAGGACGAGAAGGCCAAAGCCGTACTCGCTCAAATAAGCGGTAGTTTTGACACCGCCGAGGCCTCCTACAAGGATATTAAGGTTTATATGACATATAATTCAAAACTAGAGTCCTGTATAGTTACCATTTATTGGCACCGCGAAAATTGATTTTAAATCCCATCCTGGGCCTCGGACGTAGCCCGCATGTCTTATCTGTTTTCGTAAAGTGGAAGGGGAGGGGGGTGGTAGTTATAATGCAATTGTGTCATTTAAGATATCGGGCGGGGAAAGAGTAACCTGTTAGTCAACACAGAGAATATCATGTTTATATTTTAGTAATATGAGAGGGGTGCAATGTCATTGGCTTAGGAGGATCTAGAGAGTTTTTGTTAAATATATTACCAAGATCTAAAATAATTAATCAATTTCTTATATATATTGCATACGTCTCGAAATATAATTTATTTGCCAATCAAACATAACCTTTCTTACTATTATTATTTTTTTTTCTAGAAGATTACAGATTATTAATTAAAATCTTCTTTTTTTAAAAAAAATAAAATAACCTCTATAATATTATCGAAACTATTGATTGATTGATTGGTAAAAAGTCTTGAAAATTAGACATAATTATATCGGGATAATAAAAAACAAAATAGTCAAGATCGATATTAATTGATTAAAAAGGTCATTTAAATTAAAATTAAAATCGCCTCGCATTTAATATTTCACAAATGGCATCAAAAATGATTTATAGTTTTTTTTTATATGAATATTATTATTTTTTTTGTTAATAATTAAATATCTTGAGCTGAAATGATAATAATCAGAGTATCGTTTTTAAAAAATTGTAAAAATACTTCTTTTTTTTCCCAATCTATTGATTATTTCTTTTACTTTCTTTTCCCCCTCCTTTCTTCATTTTAATTCTTTCTCTTTATTTTTAAAGATTAGAAAACTACTATTTTTATATAAAATGTTTTATTATGCGACAAAGGGTGCCATGTCAGATCAGGTCATCGCGACTCATCCACCTTTCGGCGATAACGATAGAAGAGACGGCTTAAATCAGCGACCTAATCAAAACAAGGGTAAAATAATATCAAGTTAAAAGATGTATCCTTTACTAATATTATAAAAATGCGTTATAACCGCTTAAAAAAAATGGCCGACGCGGAATAATATTTCTGAATCAAATTACTACTAACTATAACTCTATTTTATTTTCACAATTTATAGAAAAGAAAGAAAGAAGGAAAGAAGGAAAGAAAAGAATTTTTTTTTTGACAAGATAATTGTAAATATCGGTATTTTCAGATAATTTTCAAAAAAGAAAAATTTTATATTTACGTTAGTGGTCGTATATAAGTAAAGTTAACTCAATATAAGTTATTATGGTGTATTCATGCGAAAATGAATAATTTATGAATTTTTTTAAAAAAAAAATAATATATGTAACAATAATTATTTATAATATTCTCCTTATATTTTTTGGATTATAATCATCAATTTTTTTTATAACTTTATGTATAAATATATAAATGAAAAAATATTACTAATAATGTTATAATGAAACAATATTAAAGAAATTATGTGTATAAGATAATAAGTTTCGATTTTTTTTTTGAAATAAAGCATAAATTGAAATCGAATTATTTTAATAATAATGTCTTATATCATAAGGATATAATATAATGTTTCCCTGTTTATTTTAGCGGTTTCTTTTTTTTTTGCCATCTTTTTATTTTCCGAGTTCACCCAACATGATTGCCGTCTCCGACTATGTATGGGGGCTTTCAAGAAGCCTAAAGTTTTGATCTCTGCAGGTCCCTGACTGCTATATTATTTAAGTATACTAAGAAGAAATAATATGTTGCTTTTCTAGTTCGCTTAAACCTCTGGAATCAGATGGGCTTCTGGAAAATAATTAAGCTAGCTAGAGCAATTATTTAATATAGCTTTTAATAATTAACCTTTTAATTTTTACATAAAAATAAATTAATCGGTTTTGTAAATATGGGAAAAAATTTTTCACAATAACATACTTGGTTTTAAATATTAGTCATTTAGGATTCTGTTAGTTGGTTGTAATACGTTTGGCTTAGACTTAGAAGCTCATAAAATCGGAGGAAATATTTCATGTAGTTTTTATATTATTTTATTTTTCAAATAATAAAAAAATTAGTTCTTATATAATAAATAAACGTAACGCCAGATTCATATTGAATTGAATTGCGTAGTTTACCCATTTTATTTTTAAGTCTATATTAAAAGTCGTCAGTCCCGTCTCCCACTCCCAACTGCCATATTCGGTTGACGATCCCTTCCCATCCCTGGTCCAACTTAGCTAGCCGGTGCCAAACTTTCCCCATCCAGTTCGGGTGAAGCAGCGATCATGCCGAGGGTTTTGACAATTTAGATAATTCACATATTGTGGTTTAATATTTTAGTTATAATTATTACCTAAGAATTTTGAAAGTTTGAAATCGTTACAAAAATTTTTTTTTTTGTTTATTGCTATATACTTAATTATGATTACGGTCATAGTATTATCCCCCCTAATTAAATAAATGATTGTTTTTAATGAAAAAATTTATCCCCCTGTTTTTTATCATATACCAGTACGGTATAATTAAGTATATTTAAAAAATATATATTATATAATTTTCTTTCCCTTCTAATATACGTATGAAACCTCTAAACGTGACCACTTTCCTTACCATGGAACCACCTTTAATTCGGGTCTGCCGAAATTCGATTTAAAAATTGGTTCATTACAATGTTCTCACACCCTTCCTTGAGTGATTAGGGTAAAGGTGTGCAATGATCGGGTTTTTAGCTCGTAAACCCGCCCGCCCATTGGTTTTAAAGGATTGTATTTACCTGCCGTTAAAAATAATTTGATTGGTTAAATTAGTTTGAAATAAAGAAATTAATTTAAAATTATAAGCTCGCTCTACCAATCCCCACCCTTAAAATATTTTATCCACTCACTGTTTAAATTTATTATTCCGCCCGCCAGCACCAGCAGTGGCTAACTCCGCCGTTGTTACCTTACGGAGGTTTCGCGTGTGTATTAAATTTATTAGTTAAGTGTAGTAGCTGAGGATTATACGACTTATTTTTTTTTCCTGTTTTAAAAAATAAAAAACTATAATAAGATAGTTAATTTTTTTTTTGTTTTTGACTGAATGAAAAACTGAAATATTTTTAATTCAATTTTTTTTCCCCTTCTTTTTCCAGCAAAATTTTTTAATTAAAAAAAAATAAATTAACTTTCTTTTTGACATTCCATTTTTTTTCTGTACAAAGGTTTTCCTTTTATATAAATTAATTATTATCGGTTTTTTTTTGTTTGACTTTTTTTTTCAATATGACTGACTTGTTTATTTTTTAAAACTATATATTTCCAATAAATCACCTGATTAATATTTGAGTTGGTTCTTTACGATCACAACTTTCGTGGGGTTCTTAGAACGATTAAATATTACGAAGTATGTGCCTAATGTTGGCCATAAACTTTACTAATCTACCCCCCCCCCTCCCCGATCAAAATCATACACTGCCAGCTTATGCAAATTTTTTTATCATCATTATTGTTTTTTATTGTTATTATTATACTCCAATACACCAATACTAACAAAATATAGGCCGGCAAATCTGGCTATAATGAAATTCAAAAAATTCATTCAATTAAAACGCAATATATATTTTTTTATTGATAACTAGGAACCATACTATGGCAAATATTCGAAAACCCTGTCACTAGGAGGGCACTTCTATTGGGATGTTCATTGCAAATTTTTCAACAATTATGTGGCATCAATACTGTCATGTGAGAGATTAAATAAAATGGCGACATTAATTTATAAATGATATTTATGATTTCTATGACTTAATTTCCCAATAATAAAACTAATGGTTAACATTTTCGATCACCTCTATTTTCATTTGTATATTCCACCAAATTTCTTCTTAAAATCGCAAATCAATATATATGATTTCAAAAATTAGCTGATTTTCATCTTTAATTACTATTATTTATACAAATAATGCTTTACAAATTACAAAGCACATTTATAAATATCGATTTCATACCTAAAATATTTTTTTATACAATCGTTTCTTTAATATATTATCTGGCCATAGAGGTCCATTAATGTTTACTCATACATAAATAGAAATATATGTAATTAAACGATTTATTTAAAAGGTATTATTCCGCCACCATAATAGAGATGTCCGGGGTACGGGACAAAAGCAAAGCCATATGGTTATCGGCCGCTACGGCTTTTGTCAATTTTGTGTGCACCTTTTTAGGTCTCTATCTGGTGGAAAAGATAGGTCGAAGAACCCTAACACTCTTTAGTTTAGCAGGTGAGTATTACATATGCTTATATTACTTTTTATTAATTATTATTATACCTTTATTTTTTTTACTCCGCAAAAAAAATATATAATGTTTCGATTGGATTTCACTGTATTTACCAATCATTATTCCTACTTTTTTTTCATATAAATATTGGCATTGGGGAAAATTTGAAAAATAAAATAAATAAAATTGTTTTTTTTTTCGCAGGCGTTATAATCAGCTTGAGCCTTTTAGCCATAGGTTTTCAATTGGCTGCCGTTCTTTCTCCTCCAGTCACTTACCACCCCAAGGAATTCGCTAACAATCCCTGTGACGCTTATACGTATATATATTAATATTTTTTAAATTAACTAATCTATACAGTACCTCTCCCTCCACTCCAATCTAAATGGGGTAATATTTTATTATCTAAATTAAATGCAAACAAAAATGTCTTCCACACTTATTACCCCGTATATGCTAACATATTTTTCAGCGCTGGGCTGGAGGCGGACTCGCAAGAGCTCAAAAGTGAATTCGCGACTTACGTGATTAAAAAAAATTTGCGATATAATCGGGCTGGTTGCTAAAGTTAAAGCGTCTATTATCATATTTATTATTTCTTTTTTTTTGCTATTGCTACACCATGGCATTGTATTGTTTAGCATTTATATTTTATATTGAAATTTATCTTTAAAATTTACTTTATTTCGTGACATTCATTGTAAAATATTTCCTGAGAGCTGTCAAATTAATTAAGGAGATCTATATTGAAAAATTAAAAGATAATTTGGGTGATGATGAAAAGGTGGAAAAACATCTTCCCTTTACCATGATTCAAATTAATAGAAAAGATAGTGTGTGAAATCTAGTCTTTTGATGACAACAAATCATTTTAAATTCGATGAAAATATAAATAAATCTTAAAATTACCAACACTTAATTGGTTTTTTAAAATAATTTATTGTAACTTAAACAGCCTCTTAAACATGACACGAGAGAAGAAAAAATTTATAACATTTATCAATTTTAAAAATACTAGATCGAAATTATTTTCCAGATTATGTCGATAATTATATCATATTCCTTTCACCATTATGAAAACAAAAAAATTTGCAAACACACAATTTGTATAAACTACGCAAAAGCTGAAAGAGGATTTAGCTTGATTAATGAAGTAACAGCAAAATATAGAAATTTGCTAACCGTGGAGACAGATGTGGTGATATTTTTTAATGGGTAAACCTTTATCGGAGTGGGATGTCTCACCTTTTATATTGGCCAAAAGTAATGATATGCCTATCCACAGACACATGCGGTAGAAAAATTATTTAAAAAAAAAATAAGATTGTGAAATGATCAACAAATTTTTGGAATTTTTTCGATTAAATACAATAATTATTATAGTGTAAATATCTTTTCAATAAAAATAAATTGAATAGAATACAAAAAAATTTGAACGATAAAGTGAATAATTCTAGGAATTTTCTAGCTAGCCCTTTGCTAAATATTTGGCAGCACAGATCTGTAAATCAGGTTTATAGGTCTAAATTTGAAATTTCGGGTTAAGAAGTGATTATCTACATTTTCCTCGCGGAAGAGAGGATTTCATAAGAAAAAAGATTATAACGAAAAGAATTTTTTTATGACATCTTGGTATTCGACATAATCTTGTATGAATAATATTCTAGTCTCCTTATTTAGAGGAGTTATGATAAATACTATGAGGGAACTGTCCAGGCTAGATCAAGGACTGCAGCATGATATGAGTCAGGCCTTAACTGTATTAATGTCAAATTGATCGATGAAAGAAAGGATCAACTATGGGATTAGTTATTTTTGAAAGCAATTCATATTTGTTCCCTTATATAAAATATATGATATAAATTCCACATATTTAAAATTTTAATGTATTTTATTTATTGGCATTCTCAATCTAAGATGTTTTATAAATTATGAAAAATAAAAATTTATTTTAATCTCATCTTCAGTAAGTAGCAATTTATCATATATCTAAATATAAATATTTAATTAATTATATTTTTTTGAAAATTGTTAAAAATAATATCTTTTTTTTGTTAATTTTGAAAAATTTTAATTAATTAATAAAAATTGGATGAATATTTTACCACATACATTACGTAATTTATTGTAAAAAGAAAATATAAATTATTAGCTGTTTCATTTTCTGCCTAATAAATGTGTGACAAATTATCGGACATTTTACTTTTAGAGAAAATTTTTAAACAACCTCTAAACCCAAATTATATAAAAGTTTAAGAACCCCTTGGCATATTTTTTATATAGCAGATCATGTAGACCTAATTCGTAATTAGTTTAATATATTACTTGTTGTTTATATTTAATCTCAAAATCTGTGTTCAGTTATTGCTATGCTTGTGTGGAAGACCGATCGTGCGGATTTTGCTACGTGGAAGACCCCGAAGACAGAAATAGGGCTCTCAATGGGTCTTGCCTACCTACAACTAGAGATAACTCCACTAGGCCGTATTACGGAAGATGCATGAATGGTATCCCCACCTTGGCCGACGAAACCCCGATGGAGCAGGATAAGGAGAATTTTTATAAGGTCTGTAAAGATAAGATTTCCCGGAAGTATTATATTCCTATAAAAAATATATTTTATCTTCTCTAGACAATTTTCATGTATTAATACTCCTTTGAAGTATCACTTAATTTTTGCTAAATATATAATTTAGAAAAAAATATTTGTGGGAACATTGCTTTTATTTTGGGATTCTGCAAATAAATAAATAAATAAATATAAATTTATTATTCTACAAAATGTCAAATTCGTAATTCTTTTGCAAAAATAGTTTTTTTTTTAAGATTTCTAACTAAATGCAGATTTTCAATAATGGATAGATTCCATATTTATTTTTTTTTAGATGGGCACTTAAAAAATGATTATATCTAGTTTAAAACAATATATTATATATATAAGGTTCAAGGTAATAAGGCGAGAAATTACGAATACAAGGGATCGAAAAGAAGCATAAAAAATGACGATGACCTGATTTGGGCTTACAACTTTTGTCCCACCGAGTTTTATTGGCTACCTATTTTCGGGTTGTTCTGTTACCTGTTCTTTTTTGCCCCGGGTATGTTTTATCATCATTATAAATTTTTATTGGACATTTAAAAGCTTTTTACGGGGTTCACTAGTCCATCATTCGGCCTTATTAATGTAGTGTTCCTCATAAAACAAAAAGAGATTTTTTTTAACCGCCCATAAACCATTTCGATAAAGTTCATTACGACTGTATAAATATCTTTCCTACTTTTGAATTTATCACTTTAAAACAATGATAAATTGTCATAAAAAATATGCCTTATTCCATAATAAATTCATCATCCAAACCTTACGCGAAACAGGTATGGGACCAATGCCATGGACCATAAATTCCGAAATATACCCACTCTGGGCTAGAAGTACTGGAAACTCGGTCGCTTCCGCCTGTAATTGGATGACCAATTTATTGGTATCTATGACCTTTTTGACGCTCACGGAAAAGATCGGAAAGCACGGTAATTTCATTATTTTTTAAACCGTTTTATTTTTTTTTGAATTTTCAGAGGAGTTAGATATAGATTATACTACCAAAAATAGCGATATACTTAAGTCGTATGCCCCTCCTACGATATTTAGATTATATTTTTAGCAGACTGTAAACTTACCACTAACCTTTGTAATGCGTAGAAATGTTGTAGACTAAGTCCTGCATGGCTGAGCGGGCGGTAACATCTTCAATAAAATACAGACCCGACTTGTGGCCTGTTACATTTTTATCCTATTCTTCATTTTTTTTGCCTGATTAATTATTACAATTATTAAAATCAATTTTAAAAATAAAATATTTGCTATTCAATATCATATTTTGTAATAAATAGAATAAAATCGATAAACACCATTAAATTAGCAAAGTTTTTGTTGAATATTTAAATGTAATGCATAACATTAAAATAGAAAATTAAATAAATATCTTTGAGTTTGTGATGTCATCCCTACAAGCTTTATAACAATTTCGGGCCGCCATGGGTCTAGCCCTAGATCTAAAAAAAAATTGTCACTGGGTCGGAATGGGCTCAGATCTTAAAATTCAGGTCTCTAATATATTATACTGCGCTTGGGAATACGATAATCATTTCGCTCTTATTCAGAACCCGATAAGCGAAAATCATAGTGAAAATTTTATAAATAGTACAAGTCAAATATCCCCAAAACATCACGGGATTCTGACCGTTTGTGGTGACATCTATAACAATACTGTTTAATACCCCCCCCCCGTCCCTACCCCCTCAATTTGTCCTAAGTTATAAGTTCACTATTTTAAAATATCGAGATTCATCTCAAAAATGCTATATTTTGAATCATATTGATCAATGAAATAATTAATCTTTTTTTTTTAACAAGTGACGTTTTGGATATACACAACCTTCGCATGCTTGGGTTTCTTGATCTTCCTCCGTTACCTACCCGAAACAAAAGGAAAATCCCTGGAAGACATGGAAATGATATTTTCCGAAAAATCCCCCATTCTCAGTTCCCCTTTGTCCAGCTCACAGCCATCCTCCAAAAACGTTAAGGATGATTCGAAATCTAAACACGCCAAAAATAATAAAAATAAAGCCGGTTCCTCCGACAAATGTAACGGAAATTCTGTTACTATTAATAACATGGTTTTGCCGGGTAAAGAACCAAGTAAGGATTCTTTAATAGGCGGATATTGTAAAGATAAACTTAAGGGTGTGAGGTTTAGCATGGGCGAGCTCCTAACCAATTTAAACGATAAAAGCGCGCTCCTAGGGACCGATAAGCCGGCGGAAAAGTGGGTAATTCTGAACAAAAAACCAGGGAAAGATGTCAATAATAATAATAATAGGTCTAGAGTTAAGTACGTTCACGTTAAGAGCGGCATTAAGGCCTCCAAGTCACCCACCACGGATTCATCGGAATAACGAAAAATATAATTTGATTGATGGGGTTTAGAGGGAATGGAAGTTAACAGAAGGGAGATAAGCCTGTATAAATATCAATCTTTGAATTTTTAACTGTAAAGGTCTACAATGTAATCGCGAAAAACCCTTTAACAATTTTATTTTGTGTAGAACTATAAATAATAATAATATAAATATTTATAATTAGTGATAATCATTGAAAATTTCTGGTTGAAAAACCATATCATTTATTTATAAATAATTTGAATTATAAAACTAAATTCTCTTAGAATTAAATCATTTCTGTATATAATATATATATTTTTTGTTCATTATGATGACCATTTTTAAGTTCGTACCTTAAAAAAATCGTTTTATTTATCATTATAAATGTTAAATTTTATCCTTTATAATATAGATAAGTTAATGTAATAGTAATACTATGAGTGGTATTCATAAAATTTAAGTCACAAATTTCTTTTTTTTTCAAATTGTATTTGTATTTACTATTATACTTTCCTATTTTTTATCCATTATTTTATATTCACATTTTACGCGCTATTATTTTCTTTTGCCTTGGATGAACGGGGGGCTAATTTATAGGAAACTCGATTAGGCGGTTGTTCTCTTCTTCGGTGCTGAGTTGACACAAAATAAAAATCAAGGTCCCGTTATATGGCTATATACGTGCTTACAATGACGTCCGTTAGCCAACTTTTTTAATATAAAAAAATAAGTTTCTAAATTTTTACACTCATATTTAAATATTTGTCACATATCTCACAAAGGAAAACATTGTCATTAGATTTTTAAAAATTTGCTAAGAAAAATTTTTTTTTTTTAAAATAAAGCAATATTTTTTTAAATTTCTTAATCTATTATGCAATAACAATATTTTTATTTTTTTAATTTGTGAAAGATTCTTATCTATTCTTGATATTACATTTAAAAAAAATATAGATTATCAATTGTATACTGAGATATTAAGTATGCGATTCCATATTTTAATATAATATCGTGTATATTAAAGTATTTCCTTAAAAGTTTATTTTATAAATCATATTTATACTATATTTATATTACACACATGGCCCCTTATCAAATATTTCCTTAAATAAAGTAGACCAATTTAAAAAAAAATTATTATTATTATTTGTTCCTATTTTTTTTTTGTTGTTCTTAAAATTAAAATTTTTGGTTAAAAGTTAATGGTAAACGACTAACCAAATATTTTAGCCCAAAAGACGCGAACCTCGAGATTTTTATATTTAAAAAGTATAATCGTTAAATTTAAACCCCTTTTTTGATGAATCTGAGTATTTAAAAAATTAAAAAGGATAAAAATTTTCCATATTTTATTGCCGATATAGATAAGAAAAATTATCATGTTCAAAACCTGTAGTGTTGTTAAACGGCTTGTTTTAAGCCGGCTAACTTAATATTTCATCCAGAAAAATATTACGCAAGCCTGAAGATTTTGTTCATAGAAGGAACAAAGGATATTATCGAAATCTCGAGACTTAGGCAATATCTTTCTGGCTAAAATATAGAGTTAGCAGTTTTTAAAAATCAGCTCAAAACGAACCATTTAATAACACTAAAAACCAGTATTATACACGTAGACAGCAAAGATAGTTTTTTTAGGAACGATATTCAAATTGACCTTGTAAGTTGTAACGATTAGGTAGATTTTATCTTTTGAAAAAAAATAAAATAAAGCCTTATATTAATTCCTTTCCTATAATTTCACTCGATTTTTGTAGCACGAGAATTTTATGATAATCTTTCATTTTGCTTTTAATGAAAAGTGAATATATTAAATTTATAAAATATTATTTCATGAATATATATTTTTTTATAATATATTTTTACATAGTCCAAGTCGATCATGAAGATTAAAAAGGCGTTATTATAGCATGAAGGTCTAGTAGTCAAAGTGTAATAGCGTTTAAACATTGTGTAGTAAATGTTTGTGTTAACGAATGTGTGATGCAAGTAGAATTTCATAACAACTTTGTATTTTATAGTATATATTTATATAGTTAATATATTGTGTTTGCGTATGTATATTATTTCAGATAATCATGACTATTCCTAATGCTTTTATTCGTTAATTTGTATAATTTTAGTCAATTTAATATATTTTGAACGATAATTTGTTTATCGATCACATCACAATCACTATCAACATATAAATATTTAATTCTTTAAACCTAGAAATTACATTATTTTATTTTTCAATAAAATGTTTTATATTTATATCTAGAGTTTTGCAATTGCATGTGCCATCAATATGCTTGATTTGAAATACTTTAATAACATATTTTTTTTTAAATGATAGATTAACGATATAAAATTATATATAAAATTATGGTAACCACTCTGAAAATTATTCCCTTAAAAAATATCTGAGTAAGATCTGGGTTTTTTACACTATTCGGTCCGTTAATACTTAGACATAATGACTATTCTATTCTCTTTGTTACTAAAATATCAATATCTGCAATATAATTATATGTTATATAACCCTACAAATACGAGGGGGGGGGGGATCGTAAATGAAATCGAAGAGGGGTAGATTAGGGGTGAAATGGTTTTCTAATTTGGATATCCTTTTACTGTTGATTAGAATTTAAAAAACGCGCTAAAAAATTTATTTAAAGAATAGAAAACAATAATTTGGTTAAAACATTATTTTAAAAATATTTTGTTAATCCGATTTTGTCAAAAAATGTGTACCAGTATGTGTAGAAATACCTATACTATAAATTTCAACTAATTGATCATGACCTTTTGCATTATTTTTAATTTATATGGTAGGAATAATCGAATTATCTAAGATTTAAATCAGCTAATACGCAAATTGACTGATTACTTGATTTGATTTTAACATATATATGTAATTGTAAGGAATTATATATTTTATAATAAATGCATAGTCATATTGTATAGTAAACCTTTCTTTTTATTCCCTTCAAAAAAATATTTGCAAGTTAATTTACTTTATAGAAATTTTTTTAACAAAAAATAAAGCATAAATATATCCTCTTCTTTGCCCAGGTCAGGTGAAATTTTGAAATGATTTAATATATATTTCTAAAAAATCTCAATTCTTTTTATTATAACTGGGATAATTTCTCTAAGAGCATTCTTAACTCTGATATCTTAAAAGTAGAATTTCTAAAAATTTTGATCAAAAGTATTTAAAGATTCTTTTTAAGAAGAAATTTTTGACCAGATCTTAATTAAAAATGTTAAAATCTTTTTAGAAAATCTTTAGCAATTTTTATGCATAAAAAAGATGATATTAAATTTAAAATAAAATAAAAATTTCTTTAAGAAAAAAAATTATTATTTTAAAATATATAGCTTTCGCTCTGCCCCTGTTTTTACATGCATAGACCTTTTTGTTAATCACAAGGCTTAGATAAAATAATATACCTGGAGGAAATTCTTAACTTAAAATTCTCTCATTCTGGATCCGGGTTTCTCTTCTATCCAAGTCGACTGGAATTCGGTCCTATTCACCTTTCGATTGTCGCCTTCATATCCTCGAGGCTTTCAACAAACGCATTAATCGTAGAGTTATCCCCTCAACCTGATTCACATTTAAATAAAGTTTTGATTATCTGGGACCTTAATATATCAACCTATTAAAGGGATTGGGATTTTCCCTTGATTGAACATTTCGTTGAATTTCTCCTTTGGACTTAAACATGTTCAAATTCGCAAATCTTGATAGTGGTTATGAATGGATAGAAGGCATTCACTCAAAACCTCTACCTTTCCTCTAGACAATTTAGGATTTTTATTGTGATGTGTACCGGCTGCAATATATTTTCTTAGCCTGAAACCTTTGTAATACTCAAGTCGAAAAAATGGCAATCTCCCACTTCGCTATCCAAGGCACAGTTATATAAAAAATATCACTTCTAATCTTAAAAGAGCCAATATACAATACTCCTTAGATTCTGAAGGTTAAATTTACCGGATGGCAAAAGGCAGAAGGGTTGAATTTGATACTCTAGGAGAAATGACTTCCACTTGCTTGGGATTATACCTGCAAAGATATATTCGCTAAATCATTAATTCATCGTATACGTTGTTAGTGATGCAAAATCGCCCCACTCAAACCAACTTTAAAACAACTTAGCCAAAAAAATCGGCTCAGCCTGAGAGCACGATCCAAAAAAATTGGCTCAAACTTGAAATCGAAGTCTGTGTATAATCGCTCAAAATTTGAACTTAATAAATCCCAGCCCACGAACGAAATTTTGTCCCGAAAATTATATTCAATGTGTTAAGTTAAAATAAAATCTTACTTTGTTTACCCCTTTTATTGTATAATGACACTCATTTCACTGTAATATGGGAATGGTAATTTTATTTCTTCAACTTAAAATTATTTATGTTTGAATATGTCAACGGGATCACATTTTGTTTCATGATTGTTTTTATCAATTTGAAATTTATAAAAATTCTAAATTTGCTAATATGATATGGAAGCTAATATCCAGACTTTTTATTATTAAAATATAACAAATTTAAGAATAATAGAAAGATGTAATTGGAAATTTTGATTTTGAAATTATACAATTAAAAAAAATTACGTAAAAACTTTCAGTGCTATCCGGCGATACTAAAGAATACTTATATGCGCCATAATATTGGCTTAGAAATTTGCAGGTCAAATTCTCTTTATCAATTCATGGTTCTAGGCATCCCCCCCCCCCACCTCTTTTTGATATCTTATATTTTTTTATATGGTTTTAAGCGGAAATCTATCTTTTTCGTAGTGTGTTAATTTTTCAATTTTCAATTATTTTTTAAACGCATATTCTACATTTATTGATATTTCTAGGAAGGCAGGTAATCAAAAAAAGTAAAATATTTATTTAATTTAATTTAACATTTTGAATTTATATAACTGTTTTTACAAAAATATATTACACTTTATATACATTTTCAATAATGAGTTTTTGTAACTATTCACAAAATAAAAATAAGGTTTGTTAAAGACAATTTTTA